CGATACATTTATCCACCGTATCATAGTCAGTGCAGTTTGCTGTAAAATGTAACATATTACACCATAACAATAACTATTCTTTTGGCTTATATTTTGAAACAAACAAGTGAAATATGCTCCACTGTTTACCTCCACTAACCCCTCCTCCTCCTCCTCCTCTCCCTCTGTGTCTGTCCCACACTGAGTGAGTGGGTGCTGCTGGTACATGTGTGATCTCTTAGAGTAATGCACTCCCGCGTTAAAGATCAGGTTGTTAACACCATGATCAGGGATTGCATTAGTGGCACTGGGCACTCCTTGACTGTAATGCTGGGATGGCATAATTGACTTACTCAACACATACACCCACACTTGGACACGCACACACACACACACACACACACACACACACATACACACACAAGCATTTCCACCCATGCTGTACACACACAACTTCAAGTGATGCTTGGGTGCGTGCACAAATGCACACATACACACTATGGTTTGCTTCTGCCTCCATTTACACACCCACACACACTCCCACATGATTGAAACTCAAAAGCTGATGGGAGCAATTTTAATCAAAATTAAAGCCCACATCCTGTGAATTTAAATAAGTAAATTAACAGACTCATTAACCATTGTTTGTTTTACTTTTTTTTTTTAAACTTTTTTCACATTCCCTATACTTGAAACAGCTAATGCCTCTGGTGGGCTTTTCTCTTGTCTTTGCCTTTTCTCTCACTGTCTTTCAAGACACTTCCATCTGCACAACTTAGATTGTTTCTCCTAATGAAGTCATTAGTGACTTGTTTTCTGTCTTGAATCTTGAGATAGTCATTGCCATTATAAAAACTTGGTTCTTTGTGTGTGTGTCTGTGTTTGGGGGGGGGGGGGTTACAGGTGTTGGAACTTACTGTTATTTAGAGATTGAGATTTATCTTATTTTCTTATTCCAGCTGTCACACAGACAGGTGGAGCAGAGGGAGCATGGCAAACAGACAGAAGGGAGCTCCAGACAAAGGCAACCTGGCAATTGCAACAGTGGTCTCACAGATAGAGCTGATAGGAGCTCCAATGAGAGCTGTGTGCATAAAAGAGCATACAGGGAGCTGAATACCGACAAGAGAGAGAGAGAGGGTGGTAAGGAACTTGATGAGGATTGCATACAGCAGTGAACACAGTGAACAATGGGTAGAAGGAAGCAGGCTGAGCCAGAAAAGGGAAAGGGATGAATCAGGTTGGGAGAGTGAGACAGAGGAAATGAGAGAGAGAATGATAGAACAGGTACTAACTAGACAATGGCAGAAAGAGAACAGACTGAAGACGCCATGGGGCCTTGTCTTCTGCAGGTGCAGTTGGCTAAGCCTCTGTACCATGTGTCACAGTGTGTGCATCTGTGCGTCGTCGCCTGTGTGTTTCATTTTGTATAAGCTAAGCTCTAGTTTTTTTTTTTAAGTATCCTAGTTTATCCTAGTTGAGGTCAAATCTGGTTTCTCTGCCGCCAAGTGGGAAAGAATTTCCATTTTCTTAATACAGTAAATCCCTTTGCACTGAAATGTCTAAGACTCATGAAAAAGTCTTTCCACCGTTTCTCCATTTTACTCATTACACCACTTACACCGAGGTAATTTGTGCTTGTTAAAAGTGTTGAATGATTTGAAAAGAATTAATATTTTTGGCTCATTATTAACTTAAAAAAAATGAATAAATGAACTGAAGAATGAAAGAAATGTTGAAAATAATTAAGCAATTACAAAGGAAAGAACAGAATTACTAACTTTACTTTTAGTTGAAAGTAAATTTGGATGGTTTTTCTCTGCATGTGTCTTTTGTTTTTTGGATTTCTTTGGAGAGCAACATACTGAGAGTGACCTGAAGAGGTCCTGAAGGTGATAATCAGGTTAGATTAAGGCTGGCTGCGGATACTATGGCCCTCTTTGGCAGGGAATAGTGAAACAGTTGCCAGAGGAAGAGAGGTCAGGTACAGTGGAAGCCAGAGATAGGTGAAGGGGACACGTAAGCAATTCTCTGGCATGAGAAACTGTGCCAGAGTTTGTCACTCCGCCTGAAGGTTGTCATTCCTGCAACCTCACCAGATTGTATGCCACTGAACCCTTTCTCGTGTCAAGGGCAACAGTTTTTTGATCACTGTTCAAGTGATGCTGTTGCCAAGATCCGAGGAGCCTCAAAGTGCTTGTTTAGTAAAGAAAATTACAAAAGTTTCAGAATATATTAGGCCCAATGAAACAAGGCTGTGAATGTAATACTGGCGTATTGTGCCCTTTTAGAGAAGACATTGAAGCTGAAATGAAGCAACATTCATTCTGTTCATCTGGAGGTGTGTTTGTGTCCATGTGATGAATGAAGTCCAATATTCACTCTATCTTTTAGCTCTGTCTTTGGTCTCTACCAGCTACTGAGGGAAATCTCTGGCTGTTTAGCTGCTAAATGCTCCAATATGTTCGCTAGCTAGTCGATAATTTTGACTGTCTCAATGACTTTCTCTCCTCTTATATAGACAGCACAAGCGTTTTAAATTGATGTTTTGCTTTTATCTTGATATTTTTGTTTTTTAAATTCTATTTTGTTGCTCTTGTGTTTGTCACTATCATGACTCTTTGATATTTTATGCTAATTGTGTTTATTGTGAAGCACTTTTACTTTTATTTTGAAAAGTGCTTTTTTAAGTAGGGATTTGCCTACTAAAAGATTCACAGTCAGAGCTGACAAATCAGGTTTAAAGAACACATTTTATATACATTTAGAAATTTTTATCTTGCTTCCTTGGTTGCTGGTTTTTCTGTCTATTCTTAAATACACAAGTTTGAAGTGGTTCTCCAAAGCAACACAGCAAGTCAAATAAAAAAAGTCCTTGTCAAAGTCAACTAATTTGGATTCTGTTCACCCTGTTGTACTGAAAAAGGCGGTACCATACTGGTTGTAGAAAATAGCTGGTATCCGAAACATTGTAAAGGTCAATTTAGATCAGATTTTCACAATTGGTGGGTCAAGACTCAAAAGTGAGTTGCATACAGATGCTGAATTAAGAAACCTGTGACCTACACTGACTGGCATTGTATGAAACGCTGCCATGTATTCGTCTTCTGACTCTTACCACTGCTCTTGGATGGCCTCTCCAGCCCACTCACTTTAAGATGAGAATTTTGTTTTATGTAACTGAGTGAAAAAAAAGAGCCCATTGAAAGACAATGAAAAAGATAAGAGAGTAGTTATTTTTGAAAACATATTTTAAGTTTCATGCTCACATCGACGTGTAACGACCCAGGTAAAAGACGAGAGGGAAAATATAGGCAGAAATACGCAACACTGTGCTCCCTTACCTTGAAATAGCAGTGTTCCCTTTGATAAAGGGCTAATAAGCCTAATCAGGCCTGATTAATTACACTGATAGGCTCTGCGTCTGCCAGCCTAATTGATGGCTTTATCTGTGTTTTGCACCGGGCTGAGGGGATGATGGTGTTCCTCAGGAGGAGCTGAAAAGATTTAGCCCAAATGAAGGTTACTGGTGCGAGAACAGAGACGGTAGGGTGGTGGGGTGAGTGTTGCTTGAGGAATATAGAATAGAGAGTTCATTGAAGTAAGTGGCAGGACAGCAAAATGTATTTGAGGTCTACGGGCTTGTGTCAGGATTATTTGGTGACGAATAGGCACCAAACACTTGTAAACGTGTGCTGTATGCTGTTTTCTCTGCACAAATTCACTCTGTACTTACCCGTACAGCCTTTTCAGTCCCAGCCAGAAATCAAAGTCCAAAAAGTGTCTGTTGAATGGTAACACGTGTACTAAGGTTTTGTATTGGGCACTTGAGAATGGCAATTCTTTCTTCTCAGAAGCTGTTTTCAAACCCTACTCTCCTGATCATTACAAGAGAAATCAGCATGGCCTTGAGCAATGTAATCACCACCATTCACCTGCAGTAAGAATTGTACTTGTGCTGCTGCCATTGCTGCCGACGGTGAGAACAGTTAACGATATTTTTATTCAGGGAAGTGTAAAGGTTGTTCTCCATCAGCTGCTTCTTAACAGCACATGGATTTTCATCCTGTAACATCCAGGTAACAATTAAGTATTCATCATCTCTTCATTGTGGTGATTTGACATTTGGCTCAAATTTCAGATGTCATCAAGGTAAAGTTAGTTCGAAATGAGAAAAGAGTTTTGGGCCACTCTCACATAACCTGAAAGTTGCAGCACAGCCTTTACTTCTTACTTGGGCACAAACAGTTTTATAGGCCAAGTTGGTAAATATGTGCCTCTGCAGTGAAGCAGTTTGACCACAACAGTAGCCTGTTTTTTTCACCAAGACTGAAATCCAAACGATGAACATACATATAGATAGATGACACCTTGTTAAGTCGTGATCAACTTTGTTTCAGCTTTTGTTGATATAAGTATAATGTCTAATTTTACTGTAGCTGTATAGCTCATTTACATGTGAGCAGACAAAAATATGCATGCCTTCGGGGTTTTAGTCTAAAATGCCACATTTTCTTTCCAATCACTTGTGCGTCTTTATCTCTTTGTCATCTTTTGTTCTGCATCGGCTGTAGCCTTTGTAGGCTGTGCCCCTGTGTGGTAGCTCAGACTTCAGAGCCTTTGGGATGCAGGGAGCCATGTGCTCTATATTTATCTAGCTCTATGATTTATTAATAGTCTCCCCAGTATGCGCAGTCCTAAAAATACAGTGGAGGCAGAGCAGCACATGCAGCATCTAGCTTGGAAGGGAGTGTGTGGAGGCTGAGGAGGGATCTGTTAACTCAGCAGCTTTCCACTGTAGCAACATGCACGTATGGGATGATCCAGGGATTCAGGTTACATCGGTACGCAGACCGCTCCCTGACTCAGCACATAAGTGACCCAGTCATCCTATATAATAGTGATAACACGATTCAGCAGGATGAATATGTTGAAACTGAGATACACAATTCTGATTGTGTATTGAAATATTCACTTAAGTACTAACGTGTGTAATCCTGTTTCTTTGTTCTTATCTCCAGTATGAATACTTCAATGCAGTACTGATCAATGAGGTGGATGAGGAAGGGAACAGCGTAGAGCTTGGAGGAGAATTCATCCTGCAACCCAACGACCACTTTAACAACCTGTCGGTCAACCTGAGCCTCAGCGTGGTCCAGGTACCCACCAACATGTACAACAAAGGTAAGTTCATGACTTATAATTGTCACTGTGCAGGTAAGGCTGGACCCAAATGCAGCCAACACAGGGGGATGAAGTGCAAGGGTGACTGAACACAGGGGAAACACATTACGGTGGGGCAGATAATCACCAAATTGGGAGCGAGGACCAAGACGGGAAGTAAAAACATTGAGACACACAAGGAAACGAACTACAAAATAAAACAGGAAGTGACAAACTCCAAACATAAACTAAACAAAAAGTGTCTGCCATGACAAACCATGACAATAATTTACAATAAAGGTGCCAAAAATACAAGTGTGCAGAAAAGGTTAAATTAACACCATGGCCATAAAATTATCATGTACATCTGAGCTTTTGTTCTCTAATTTGGATAATAGAAACCCCAGTCTAAAAATTAACAAAACATCAGTACAACAGTTAGTACGTGTGCTGGTGCACATAGATGTACGCCTGTGTCCGGAGGAGGATTTGAGTTCATTAACTGTAACTCTTTGGATCATCTCTACCACACACTGACTTAATTAGCAGTTAAATAATCAGACTTTCTGCTAATGTACCATCCACCCAAGTCCAACCAATGAAGTCATGGCCTTGTACAATGCTCAGTGGACAAAGTGAATGTCATGTCGGCTTAACCCAGCCACCACAGGCAAAGAAATTATATGGAGAGGGGGGGAGTAAATGAGAAAGAAAGTAGGTTAAGTCAGACTGATGGAAGGTCTGAGCAACAGATTAATTACAGCTAGGTAGAAAAAAAGAGAGAGCAAACGGGAGTGACAGGAGGAGAGTGAATGAAATGGAAAGGAATTGAATGAAAGTGTGAGGAGAGTGAGGCTGGCAGGCAGGCAGACCGATACAGGGAGAGGAAGAGTAATTTTGATTTGATTCAAAGGCAAATGAGTAGAACGCACACGCACATGCACACACACGCACAGCTTTAAGAGTTTTTAGATCTGCAGGCTTTGTTCATTGGCAGTGATAACATGGATGTATTGGCTGGGACTACAGGGAGCTTGTTGGCGGGCAAACTCTCACTGCTCTGCAAAAGGAGTCTGGGAGGCTTGGCTTGGGGCAAGAAAAACAGTTTGTGAACGATTCATTAAAACATTTGAAAATATTCTTCCTTAAATTGTTCTCCCTTTCTCCTTTGGAATGAATTTGCAAAAGTTGGCTTATCTATCACCACAGTATTGTTCATATTGTGAACAAGGACTTTGAAAGTTTCTTTGCCACAGCACTGTAGCACTGACATGTAATTAATACTTTCACGTTTAAGCCAAGAAAGTTTGCAGGTGTTCAGAGAGAAAATAGCAAGGTGTTATATTAGTCTGGGTTTTTTTTTTTATAAAGGGGCAAGTGAGAAGATGAAAAGTGATCAAGGAAGTCCAGTTTGAGCAGCACATCCACAGGTTTAAATGCTTATCAGATTCCCAACACTGCTAGTAAAAGCAAAAAAGAATAATGAAATTCTACAACTCTGAGAAGTTATAATGGTAGCAAACAGTAGCACTACTCCATTATTATTAGAACATAATCTACAAATAATCCGCACTTGAATTTGTCTGATTAGCCAATGTATTTTCTTTTTTTTTGTGCATTCCTGTGCAAACACTGGTATCAAAGAAATGCACAGAGAGGCCGTGTTTCCTTCATGCGTACTGGGCAATCACTGTCATCCGAACCTGTTCTTTATGCTGCTAAAGAGTTGGCTGTAGCCTGTGCACTTTATAAATGGTTTGGCGGCAGCAGTGATGAATTGGAGCTTGAGTCCATGATAGCAGAAAGCTTTGTGCCCCTAGAGATTAATCGCAGGAGGAAAGCACCACATCAAACATCCAACTTGCAAACTTACATCACAACCAAAACAGAGCTCCCACCATGATACTATATGAGGCTTAATGATAGGATCATGTACCAGTGATGCAGTATAGCCATGCACATATTTTCAGCAGGTCGATACTCTCTAATGTCCATACGTATACTTACATTTATATTCTCTGAGATGCGCACACACGCACACACACACACACACACACAGAGACACACACTGTTTCTAGACTCTCTCCTATTCCTACTCATGCTTCCTCCCTCCTCTCGTAAAACCGTTCCCTCCTAATCGTCATAAGTAACCTAATAAAGTGAAGTTGATTTCAGCTCTGATCACTCAGGCTGGTGCAGTGGGTACCTACACAGTTCTACTTTTTAATCTGAGTACACGTGCACGTGTGAATAGAGAATCATGGGAGCTCCTTTGATCAGATTGAATTAAGGAGTACATTAGTTGAGATGAATTTAAATGACAGTTTAGGGGGGAAGGAGAGCCCATACTTCCTCCCTCATCATGACGAGTCCAGATTGCAATAGACACTCAAACTGCACCAGAAGCGACGGTATTGTTGTGTAAATGGAGCCTGGATCAAATCCAGCATCCTCTCTACTCCGCTCCATAGAGGTGGATAGGTGTTTACTATCAAGAGAGGGCTTTAGTGTGCTAGCTTCCAGAAGACTAATTCAATCATGGCCTATTGGCATGACTGTTGACAGCAGAACAATGTTGCCAGCATAGGAGATGATGGGAAATCTGTTATCTGCTTTTCTTGTTCTCTGTCCATTAGGTACTTGTCTGTCTGTCTGTCTCTCAGTAATTTTCTGCCTGCCTTTCCGTCTGCCTTCCTGGCTTTCTTTTTTATCTCCTTCTAAAGGCTTTTGTGGATCTGTCTCACTGTATGATTGTGTCTGTCTGTCTGCTTATCCTTTTCTGCTTCCATTTTCCCCGCCCCGCTTCTGAATCAAGCTAAATTGTGGTAGTAAGTAGCTGTAATGAGCTTGGCTTCCTGGTTGCTAACCAGTGACAGTCATACCTCACCCGTAACTGAAGAGAAGCTCAAATAATTGGATATGCCTCACCAAATATTACAATTGGCAAAAGCTATAGCACATATTGTTCTGATGCATATTTGCAAAGACACACACTGTATGTTACATTAATACTGCCCTACACAGGCAGAGAGCAGTAACTACAGACACACTGAAGTAAAAAAAAAAGATATACATATACAGAGGTTGTTATGCCTTTGTTTCATACCTTTTCAGATTTCTCCCCAAAAATGATTGTCCTATAATACTTGGATGAGTTTTATGAAATCCAAGGGTAAAATTGCAGCAAATGGGTCATTACAAATTTCTTGTCCATGTGGACAAGTTTGTTTAAGAAAGTAAACTTTATTTTGATCATTTTCAGTTCATAGTTTCTAGGAATTAAATATAGTATCTCTGTTTTGCAAGGCGATTGACAGTCTGCTGTTAATATTTTAATTGAAATCAATTTAATAGATTCATTTATTATTTATTACATTTAAATATGTGGTTCACTGTAAAGAAACCTCAATGTTAACCACACCATATTCCTCTGCTGTCAAAAGCTGAAATGGCAGCCACTGAGCTCTGCTAAGCTAGCTATCTTTAGCACGAGTTTATGAAGATGAAGAAAGATGTTGTTGTTACTTTATTATTATGGATATTTTCTTTTACAGAAATCAGCTTATGAAAACTTAATGAGTAAACAGTTTTAGCTAAATCTCACCTCACCAGCTAGCTTTCACGTGATGTTGAGATTTTTTCTGTAGCTGCCTTGTTGACTAGCTAGGCTAGCTATGGCAGGGAGTGCTTTAAGTGTGACAAGTACATTCTATATACTACTACAATCCGGTTACTACAGTCTGAGCAGCAAATACAATACAATATTTATTTTGTACTTACTTTAAAATGTTTTTTTTTGATATTACTTGATATTAAACAGATTTCACAAAGGCAGATAGGTCTTAACTCAATTTTGACCAAATATGTATTTATTGTATTTTGTCTATGTAGGGCAGAATAAAGTCTACAGTCTCTCCTATTTATTTTTATTCTCTTACATCTCTCTTATTCTTTTTTCTCTATTCCCATCTTTTTCTCTGTTTTTATGCTCACACTTGCCTGTATCTCTGTGTAATGAATAGGTCCTGCTAGTGATCTGTGGAGGTGCAGTGTTATGATATGACTGGATGAACAGGCACTAGAGAGTACTTGTTCCAACCTCCTGGACTGTAAAAGCAATGTTAACCTTTTTAGTCAAATAGTGCTTCTTTGCTCCTCCCCATGCTTGACTTTGCCCCTTCTTTTTTTTTCCCTTTATTCCTTAGACTCTGCAATTGTCAACGGAGTGTTCTGGTCTGAGGCGCTGAATAAAGTCTTTGTGGATAACTTTGAGAGAGACCCATCACTCATATGGCAGTACTTCGGCAGTGCCAAAGGCTTTTTCAGGCAATACCCAGGTAAGTGTAAGTGTGTGTTTTGTGAGGGTGGATTGGTGTTGGGTAGTGTTTATGTGCGTGTTTGTAATTAAGTGGCTGTCTCCCTAAAGCAGAATGACGGGTGTGTGGTAATCTTCAGTGACTGACAGCTAGAGACTGGCTAGCAGGGTGAAAGAAATGTTGCTGTTGAATTTTTTGGGGCTTTGAGCAATACAAATATTCCTCCATTGTGCTAGGGTGCCAGCAGAAATCTCAAATCACTATCTGATAGCTAAATAACACCAAAAATAAGTGAGAAAATGTGTATTTTTGCAATGTGGGAAAACAGAATTTCTTAAAATAGCATTGTTTTAAAAAGCAAATGATAAACACTTTAGAAAAATATCTGTTGTGACAGAAAAAGCAGTGTGTTTTGGCAGAAAGCCTTTAGGGCTCCAAGAACAAATTTCCTGGCCACCTCCGTTTCTGCAGAGGTAATGGTTTGTTTTCCTTCCATACAAATGATGCAACTCCAGCATTATTGCAATTCATCGTTTGTCTTTGACGTGTGATGCTCTTCAAGGAATCAAATGGAAGCCAGATGAACACGGGGTCATAGCTTTTGACTGTCGTAACCGGAAGTGGTACATCCAGGCTGCAACCTCACCGAAAGACGTGGTGATCCTGGTGGATGTCAGCGGCAGCATGAAAGGCCTCAGGCTGACCATTGCCAGACAGACTGTCTCCTCCATACTGGACACTCTTGGAGACGACGACTTTTTCAACATCATTGCTGTAAGTCCACACAGATGTGCACACAGCTGCAAGGGGAGTATATAAACTACTTAACCTCTACGTTTTTTTAGACACAGATAGACACACACACACACACACACACACACACACACACACAGAAACACACATAACACAGGCCCACATCCTCTCCTCCTCAGATCAGAGGAAATGCTGGAACGAATCAGCTTTCTCTTCTGTCACGCTCACAACCAATTAGCAGTCAGCTGAATGAAGATTTGAATTGCAAAAGAGACAGTTGTGATTGGATCCCGCCTCAGGCACCCAAACCATTGTTATCGCACCTCAGTCTGATGAAACTCCATGAGTGTGTATGTGTGTACATGTGTGTGTGAGTGTGTGACAATGCACTTCCACATGTGTGTGTCTGATGCTATTTCACATCAAAATGTAGCTAGTCACTTTGCCAGCCTCCATTCTCTTTCTCCACAGAACAAAGTCTTCATTATCATTTGATATCCTAATCATGTTATTTTGAAAATTATTCTTTTGAAAAATAGAGAAAAAGAGGATTTAGACAATCAGGCAGAAACATATTGTTTTCCCCAAACTCTTTAAAAGGATGTGTCATTTTGACTCATCTGTTTCTTCTTTGGTCTTTTTATTTGTGCTACTTTTACTTTATTACCTTAGAAGACTCCCATGAAGTGTCAAAGTTGTTGTGGATTTTGTCTGAAGTATCTTCAGTGCTGCAATACACACACACACACACACACACACACACACACACACACACACACACGCGCGCGCGCGCAAGGACAGAGCGATGACAGACGGATGTATGTACATAGATTAGGGCAAAATTACTGGCTTTGGAAGAACACACTTCCATTCTCTTTCTTGGCCTTTGAAGTCTAATTCATACTCATGCATTAAATGGTGAGTATTATCACAGAATGGCAGGCACTGAGTACATTGTGTACCATACATTGTGTGCAATGTGTGTATGTGTGTGTGTGTGTGCTTTTCATCAAGATGAGTGAAGTTTCTGACATCTTCTTTTTTTGTATTTATCACATTTCTATACATACAACAGTTTAAGTCATTACTACTACTGCTTTAATGATTCCTTTTGTATTCTTCCAGTACAATGAGGAATTGCATTATGTGGAGCCGTGCCTCAATGGGACTCTGGTCCAAGCAGACGTCACCAACAAAGATGTGAGTCTTTCTTTCTTTGTCTCTTATTGTTTTCTCGTCTCTGGCCAGGTTCAGGGTTACTCGAGGAAAAAATTAGAAAATGACTGGAGGGTCAGCATGACATGTTTAGGTTCAAGCTTATTTATATAATCACAAGAATCTATACAACAAAGTTTTGTACCAAGGCGCACTCTTTAATTTAAAATAGCCACAATCTGAAACTTAAATATATGGTACAGTGTAAGATAAAAAATATATAATATGTCATAGTGTGGACCATAAATAAGAGATGTAAACAATACACATTTATATGAGAAGATTTCACTGACTAAAGGCTAAAATACAACAGTATACACAGTATACTGTGCAAGTATCGCAGTGGCATGGCCCGTTAGTCAGAGTGCTTGTGGAAAGAAACTGTCTGTGCTGTCTGCTTACAGGTCTGGGAGGGGGGTGCTAATGCATATGTGAAAAAAGTTTTATAAAGTCCTTTGTGGCTCCTGAGGGTGCTGTGGGTAATCTGTTTGTTGCCTTAAGTGATGTAACTTGAGGCAGCATTAGTTGGGGTTGAGGATTACAGGTTTGAAAATTAAAAAAATCTGGAGGTGTAGGCTTAGACAGAAGTAAACTGACCAGAACTCTGTTGCCCGTTTCTCATCCCTGTTTGAGAGCTTCAAGGGTATGTGAGCCGCTATTAGCATAATACACCCATATTTCCAACCAAACTGTATGTGGGTAATGTCGGGGCCAGGTTTTGACAAAGAAGAGGAATGCATTAATTAAACAAAAAAGATGGCATCCCTGGTTCTGCTGTCAGCTCAGAGATGTTTTCTTTAAACTGTCCATTGTGACAGTGTTATAGGATAGTGATGCTAAATTGGTGGAGTATTCTTTAAAATTATTGTTTGGATTTTCTTGAGGCAGTGAGTGACATAAATATTCCCACATAACGTGGTTTGGGGAATGTTTATATGTTTGACTGTGTTCATAAAGGAGGTTTTCATCAAGATGGCACATGTGATAATCCTTGCCTCCTCTCCATTACTGTAGCATGATTCCCTTCTTCACCTAGGAGTCTCTGCTCCTCTCTGGTGTCTATAATATAGGCTCCATCTCCAGGTGCCCACTAAAAATTCAATCTCTTCCAAATTCTTTAAAATTCCATTTAAAAATTCAATTGCTAACCTCTATTAGTCCAGGTCAAATCTTTGGGACACAGCTGTTTAGTACCAAATGCATGGACTAGTTCCCATGTACCACATGCAAGTGCTGTAGAATTATGTGTGTGTTCACATCTGTGGGTGTGTGCCTGTTGGTGTTTAAGTTAGTTTCTGTTTACTTCTAAATGAGTGTACACTTATGCATATGGATTAGCATTATGTGTTTAACTCCAGATGGTAGTTTAATGTGGGGTGAGTCAGCCAGCTAAGAGGGGAAGGCAGTCTGCACTGGTAGATAAGGCTAATGTCTTTTACTTCAGCTGGGGGCAGGAAGTGACTGTCACACTGGAGCCTTAAAATGTACTGATCTGTCTCTCCAAAATCTGTTATTTCATACCCAAACTTCAACTGGGTCATAAATACCTGTAGTCAAGCTTCCATGGAACACACATTCATCAGGCATATATTACCATGAGTAGTTATTTGTCTAATTAGCATCAACAGTGTCTTGGTTAGAAATGTTGGTTTAGAATTTTTTTTAAATTTCTTGATTCTTTTAATTCTTCTTTTTTAGCCTACTTTTCTAGGTCTTACATAACATAAACATCTTTCCACCTGCAAATTTCCAAATCCTTTCTGGCCAAACAGTTTTTTGAATGGATGCAGGGATGGAGCTTGACTCTGACTTTAAAAGTTGTTTCTATCCACTAAAATGCTTTACTAATATGATGCTGAACTATAGGCTTGACATCATATTTGATCATGCAATACTTGTAGATCTATTGTTCAAACAGTCTAATCCTATTCACATCAATACGCGGTATTCCCTTTTTTTTCTCTTTTTTCTCATGCATTTATCAGCTGCTGCATTTGAGGACATTTTTATTCATTGATTATTATGTCACTGTAGCCTGGCTTCGTCAAGCTGACTGCTGTGATCATTTTCGAGTATAAAAGGTGTCTGCAGCATTGCAGGGTTTGATGTCCAATGTTCTGTACATTTCAGAGCCTTGTGGTATGGTTGAGCACATTCAGATTTGCGTGCACACACGGACACACACACTGTCTGAATCTGCCACTTTACTACACTGCTGCACCAGGGACTTAGCATAGCCTGCTGTGCTGAGACGAATCACTTGGATCTTAACTCACATACACTCACACAGACACACACATACACACAATAGGTAAAGTTTGCTGTGCTGTAGGGCACAGCCTTTTGTTGGAACATATTAACCCTTTTATCCACATCAAAGGAAAGGTTCTTTTTTGCCATATGGGGACGTCAGGGATGCTGGAGGTTGTTTTTGTGAACATATTTATGTGTTTTGCTGGTGCTTATGCCCTGAGTTCTGTGTGCATGTTTTGCACCCAGGTGAGCAAGCCCTGATTTGGCCTGACGCTGTTTGAGCCACCTACTGTGTTGAGACACTTTCCTCCTTCCCCTCATTAAGGAGCAGACGACTGGAGGAGATGAATGTAGAGGGAGCGAAAGGAAAGGAAGAGAAAGATAAAAGACTGATGAGGATAATGATGGAGGTGCAGGCCTAGATCTTAAAAAGTGAGAGACAGAGTCATATCTAGACGTGTGTGTGAGAGGGTTGCTTACCGTCATAGGTGGGAATGTTTTTTGCAGGTAGTTGGACAGAGCAACAGTCAACAGGACATGTTCCAAATGCCAACAACTGGATCGAAATAGCTATAGATAGATTGAACTGGATAATAGCTTGTGTCTGTCCATGTGTGTGTGTGTTTCCTCCAGGCTGTTGTAAATAATGAGACATGCTCATGAGACCTGTTAGGTTGCTGACAACATTAAACTCATCATTAGTTGCCAGAGAGGTAATGTACCCTTTGTGGCACAATTACACCTATGAACACGGGCCACACATACACACACAAACACACACACACACACACACGCATGCATGTACACTAAAGTAAATGGTTGTCATTTGAAAGGAGATGAGGGAAAGCAGGTCATGTTAGTTCTTTCAGTCAGGATGTTTTCAGTCTAAAGATAATGTGGCAGCCTGCTGCAAAAACTGGCTCAGAGCCATGTTAAAGAGCCCATTAGACCATTGGTGCAATCTTGGTTCACACGTAAATTATGGTTAAATCAAGTTCAGTCAAATATTATGTTTCTCTGTGCTATGAGAAAATAAAATCAATATCTTTGCATTTTTATCCTTTTACTGTAGCTATCTGCTCTTCATCTCTTTTTTTTTTTTCTCCATGAAAATCAATAATGACCTCTAATCCTGTCACCCTCTGTTTTCTTTTTCACCCATGCTCTCTCCTCTCGTCACCATGTTCATAATGGCTTCTCCCTAAATTTTATTTTCCCAGCATTTCCGGGAGCACCTCGACAAGCTGTTTGCTCAAGGCATTGGTATGTTAGACATAGCTCTGACCGAGGCCTTCAATCTTCTCAGTGACGTGAGTAACACACTCGTGCATGATCGCCCACGCGCAGCCAGACGCATTCACATGCACACACGCACACATACTTAGACACAGAAAATAAACAGTTCCATGCACAAAATTAATTAGTGCACTGTAATTAATAGCTAAATTGACAAAATCATGCAAAAACTGAGTAAACAAGACACTTGATGACTCAGGTTACTGGTTCGACATCTCCTCATTATGGGCAAGCAATTAATCAAACACACATGCACACAAACACACAGACGCGCATTTACCATCCTTTTCTAGATGCTCATATTTCAACAACATGTATCTAAGGTATACTGGAATGACAAATGTCTCCAGCTTAATGACGCCTCTCTGTAAACTTAGGGTGGCAATGCACTCTCACAGTAAATGTCCTAGTAGTTTGTGTGCATGTGTGTGTGTACAGGAGGCAAACTATTATTATTCCATTAGCTTACCGTTACTGTACAACACAATTAGCTTCCATGATATGCTAATTCATGTAAAGTTAAATTACAAGCTCAAATGGGAAGTAACTAGATTAGCTGTTTGATTTGAAAAAAAAAGTAGATTTTAAACTAGTTAAATTTCCATTTGGATTGAAGAGAAACTTTCATGCTGCTTTCTTTATTACCTCCAATACCCCCACCCCCTCTTCTCTATCTCTGTCTCCAGTTCAACGAGACGGGGAGGGGTAGTGAGTGTAGCCAAGCCATTATGCTGGTGACAGATGGGGCAGTGGACACATATGATGCCATCTTTGCCAAGTACAACTGGCCAGAGAGGAAGGTAATGTATAAAACACACAAACACATACATCACATTATTCTGCCGTTGTGTTCCAGGACAATTGCATAGTGAGGTCGGCTGAGCTCAATTTCCTAGTATGCCTTGTTCACAACATCATGGACCTGAGACCATGTATCCCAGTGAAGATGTACACTGGACTAATGCATTCCTATGACTATGAATGAATTTTTAAACTTGCTGTTGAGAATGGGCTATCAGAAAATGTGGAATTAGCTAATAGACCAGTTTGACACCATTTTAAAGGAGCTATTTGCAAGTTTTGCTATTGATACATAGCTTGTGTTAGCTTTAACAGCTGCTTACTTACCTATCTTAGCAAGAGCTTTAGCCACAGTTGTGTTTACTAGACAAGAGGTTATAATATTTCCTTTGAGCAACTCTACTTCTTCAGGGCAGATTGGACGCAACAGTGACTCGGTATCAGAAAGTGACAAGTCATGCTAACTTCAGTACAAGAAAAGAAGTTATAGAAATAGAAGTAAAGCAAGAGGGTTACTTTCTACTGCTGGAGACAGCTCTTGGCAGTAAAGGAATTAAGTTTGATACTGAACTCGCAACATTTGATCTAGACTGGTAAGTAAACAGCTGTTAATGCTAATGCTGTCTACGTAGCAATAGCAAAACTTACAAATAGCACATTTAAAGTGAAACAAAGGAATCTGTAACAGTCATATATCAATCAACAGGAACAGAGAGAAGGATGATGTTTTATAGGGTCAGGCCATTGATTACAAATCATACAATTATTATAACTACATCAGAAATACAGTTTCTAGAGAAATACTGCACTTCTCGCTAGCAGGATCACCATAGGAAAAGAGCATCAGTGTTTCCCATGCAGACACACCGCTATTCTGTTGTCATATTTCAGGGCATGTTTTTGCCAAGTATTAGTATTTGGCTGAGTTGTTAGATAAAGTTTTTGACAAGCAGAAGGCATTGAGCAGTATGGGGTCCTTTCAGAAGGCTTTAAAACAGTGTTAAGTATGGCCCTGTCTCTGAGGTCTGAGCCGTCTCTCTCTGCTGTCCTGCAAGGTAATTGTGGTGCTCTTCTGACAGGCCATGAAATGAAATGGGAGGAGAGAGGAAGAGAGTAGATGGAGGGGAAGAAAAAGGCTCATTCTTAGGTCATTTTCTGCTGTAAAAGAAAGCCCACAGGGTCCTCACCCGTAAAAGGTTGAGGTAGAAGTACTAAAGCAATGATACATGCATACACCCTAAACATATACCGTATATATGCGCATACAGCACAAACTTTCAATGCCTCAGGTAAGCCTTTTAACAGCTTTGACAAGAAATGCTTTTACACAGAATGTGAATGTGAAATACTTTGTATGTGTGTGTGGGAGTCTGGGGGATCTGGCATCTGGCAGCTGATGTGAGTGTTAGGACACACAATTTTCATTGCGAGTCTGTTTGGAGCACATGTTTGTATGCATTAATATAATGCATTAATATTTCCCAAATGCACTTGTATTCCCATGTGTTTGTGTGTGTCTGGTATGGTCGCAGTCCCCCCCCCCTCCCCTCCCCAAACGCTCCTGCCTCAAGGCTGTACAGCAGTGAGCGGAGAGGGGACAAGGCTGCTAGATACTTCCATTTAGAAGAAGCCCCGCTGATAATAGAAGTCTTCAGTCTCTGTCACTCTCTCCTGTCTGTCTCTCTCTCTCCCTCCCCTCTCTTCCCCGCCGCTGCTGGTTTTTAATGGCTTCCTTCCAACCAGCCTTACAGCTTCACCACTGTGTAGCATCACACTGAGTATATAGGCATGCGTAGGAAAACCTGAATTCAAACAAGTTTCTGAATATCTGTATGCAGATGGCATTTATTCCTACAAGCCAAAGAGAAAAGATCATACGATCATAAAGAAAGCATTGCCATGAAAAACAGTATCTACAGATGAAAAGTCTAAAACACTGAAAGACTTCAAATACATTTCTGTAATGAGTTTTGCTTTCATGTTACACCAGTGATTATTTTCAGAGAGATACTGTCACAATTTTCAGATAACAGCCTTTTGTAGATAAAGATTTTTCAGAAGTAATTTTGCATTTATCTTTACTCTTTGTGGCATGACCTTAAAAACCATAGTGTATATAAAATAATACAAAGAACTGAAATTTTGTTCACCCAAAGACCATTGTGGTGATTTGTTTAAGAGCATACCTGCCTTTGCTCTCTGATTGTGCGAGGCTTGTGTGGATTACTGATCCCAATCATTTCTTTGAGTTAAAACAAGAGATACAAGTACAAGACAAAACATTCACTCCTATACTCACACACATAAATTCACATATGGCTACCTGTCCACACGAATGTGCCCACACATGTGTATGCAGCTACACACTTAACATAAAAGCACATAAACATGGACATATTTGGACACCCATACACATACACATGCATTTACACACATGTGAGCCACAATATCAGTCAGCTGTGATTGAATGATGCCTTATGATGCTGTTCCCAGCATATTGTCCATTTCCCTCTCTAATTTTAATATGTGCAGTAATTGAGAATTTAAAAAATCAACACTCAAAAAACCAAAGAGAACCAGTTATATTTGCGTCTTTGTTTCTGTGTGTAACCAAAATGCTATTTTAATGTTATGTGTTGTACTCTACATCTACCTTTGGCTAAAGAGGTTCATCCGCATCTAAATAAGGGAGCCAGATATAACTAAGCCCAACAAGAATTTATGCAAATGTATTTTGCAAAGGTCTTAAAAATGCAATACATCCTTAATCATGCTGGTGTGAGAGGGGGCATCAGAATTTATACAATGCAGCCATATCAACAGTACCATGAGAAATTCTAAGTTGAAAATTGTGAACAGGGTTTCTCACCATCTTTAAAAGTGGAAAACATATGGTATTGATTTAAACGGTGGTGGTGGACACCCTTCACTCAAACTAGTTGGCCATTTCCTGTCTGTAGTCGCATCAAACTGTCAACCACCTGAGAGTGTGGACTACATTGCATCTAATGGGTCAAACTGTAATTTGGCAAAAAGTCTTCCTGGGCCAGAGTGAGTGTTGCCGTTTGCAATTTAGACAATGGCGTCACTAAAATTGCTGCACAGGACAACACTGACTGTTGGGGATTTTGATGTGCCCATAGCCACAACTGTAGTCCATCTTGCCGAAGCAAGGTAAAGCTAGACAACACTGCCTACTGATGATAGATAGTGTGTCCTGTCCATGTAGTGGGCTACATGTACTTCCCCGAGCTTCAGGAGATTGATATGTTGGGGCCACACACCCTTGCCCATGTATGCTTGTGCACCTTGTCTTGTGTGCACCACCCATACCTTACATGTCGTAACCATTTGACAGTGTATCTTGAGGCACCAGTAAAGGGCCAACTGTAAGTGTCTGGAGGCTACACTGCTGCAGTACAGGCTGTAAGGGGTAATCCTTCGGCTCAGTCCCACATATGAGATGCGCAAATGGGCACATGTAGTAGGGCCAGCAGAAAGGCCTTGACTGGTGATACTGTGAGCCCTAAGAGACAAAGACACAGCCCAAGCTGGGAATCCACCACTTGGTTTAAAAAATCTCTGAGGGGGCTCCAGCCTGCCCTTGGCCCACTTAAGGCCAAGTTCAAATGCATTTCACCTAAGCAGGGCTACTCTGTGTGAACAGATACTTAGACTAGAAAACCAAAAGGGCATCAGCCATCCTTAAGACAGCAAACTCACACTCTCTCTTACGCACATCTCAGTTTGCTCTCCTGAAGTCAGTTTCAAAAATACCAGATTGATAATCAGAATGAATAGTGTTAGACTAAAACTTCAGAAAGGGATTAGAAATTACCAATTCCTGAGCATTTGCCAAGACTGATTAGAGTTGGGCTTGTAATCATTTAGAAGTGTTGGGTCACCAGCTTTTTTGTAATGGTGGAACAAAAGCAGATTTCAAGATAAGGAATTTCATTAAAGACAAAATATAGATGAAAAAGATGAGTTAGTGAAGGAGAAATAAAACCAGCAGCCAACTTCAGAAAATGTGGCACAGGATTATCAGGGTCTTTTTATTTGCTAATGTCTAAAAGTTTGAATGCCTTGTGTATCACTGTGGTAATAACAATTGAAATGAAAAGGCTTGCTAACAGGTGCTGATGAAAAGATTTGTTTCAAAAAGTTGTCACTCTGAATGAGAAAATAATTGTGTGGCTTTTGTTTTGCCCAAGTTAAGCTGTGCCTATTAAGTATATTAGACAATCAGACCAAAGAATCAAACCAAACATAATTTCTGCCTTTAATTCTGTGGCATATTACAGGTTTTCAGGTTCTGGTTTTCAGGTTCATCCAAAACATGTCTACTTATCTATAACTCAGGTGTAACAATCGTCAGCCTCAGTGGATAGTGCTCATATACAAACCAAATCAATTTTAAGAATCATTACTATGTAGCTTCATGGATGTAGTTTTGGTTTCAGGTTAAAACCTCAAGCTGATCTAGATCTGACATCAGCTGGGGTTTTTTTAACCAACAGTCAGCCTGTCTGATCCTATATTATGCTACATATTGCATGAGACCAGTAACATCAGAACAATTAGCTTGGTGCTACAGTGTGGGTTGCAATAGTGTGTTCTGAACATTAAAACACATGTAGCCTTACAGAAGTACTTACAGTCTTTAAACGTTTGTGTGAATGTTTACACAGGGGAACTGAATGAATTATTGAGTTAAGTGCTAAATATATAATGTAGGAGTGTGAACAAATAGATTTTTGCACACATAAGAACTTGTGTTTAAAATGAGGGCAGAGCATGCGCATCGACCTGAAACTTGCCCAAGTACGAGTGCAGCTACATGAGTGTCTGTGCATCTGTGCGTGCATGGATACATACAGATGTGTGTACTTATATGTCTCTGCGTTTGCGCTCTTGCATGCATATGTATTTTTATTCCTGCCTATGTAAAATTTGTGCAGTCAAGTACGTTGAAGATTGCATGCCGGAGCCAGAGAACCTGCAAGTTTTTATCTCCACAGTACTTAACTCAGCTGTAAACCTCTTCCATATTTAATAATCAGCCTGCTGTAGTTTGACCTCTGTCTTGGCTACCAGTGAAGGAAAACACATAACCACAACCAGAAAAACTCACTGACACATTTTAACCGTAGCCCCACATGCAGGGGTTATGATCGTGTTGGCAATGTTGTGTTTCCCTATCACTCTGGCAAAGTCATTCAAATGGCTGAGGTTTGTATGAATAGAGGATGATTACGGTCTAGATAATTAGGGCTGCTTAAAAATGACAGTCTGACAACTGTACTTATTCACAGTGAAACTCATTACAGTTGACAATAGACCACCAATATCCATACTAGAAAATGAGAGCCTAGAGGTAGCTGTCTATGGTTTATATCTTTGTTTGCAAAAGCCGTTATAATCACTATTAAATTCATAAGGTGTTTATCTATGACCCATGGCAATTAATTAAATATAACTTGAAGGAAGTATTACTCAAAAAGGAAATGCCATATATACATAAATTATATTTTTATGATTTTCAGAGCCTTCTGTCGAGTGCAGTCATCCAAAAATCAGATATAGACATACACATGCCCACATGTAGACATATGTATGCACACACACACACACTCACTCACGCACACACACACACGCGCGCACACACACACACACACACGCACACAAACACAAACAGACACATGCTGTCAGGGCAAAGGGAGGCAATGAAAAATGCAGGCATGGGAGCTATGGCAGCTGTGCCCCCAGAGGCTTGCATCTGGTCCAATCTGGCAACCTGCTCTTCACACACACTCATGCACACACATACATGCACACACACACCTGCCAACTACACCTGCTGCGAGAGCCAACTGAGCACTGCTGGGCAAAAATGGGTTTGGCAGCAGAGAGCTTAGAAGATTCTCAGGATTGAGCGCATGATCCTTGAGTTTGGCTTTTTCAACTCAAAATATTTACTTCATGCTTTATCATTTGTATTCATTCTAATTGCAGATTCTTGATACGCTTATCTTATTTAAAAAACCTTTATCTGGTAATCCTTAATTGTTTAGTTTCTTGAGCTGATAAAAATAATTTGAATTATTTCAAGTTGAAATAAAATCTAAAAGACAAATTTAAAACTTCCTTGAGTCCATAATCGACTCTATTAAACAAGGAGAAAGGGCCTGCTAATCAAAGGCAGATAAAGAATGAGCCTTCTGCCTGGCTTTGACAGTGTTATCTTCTATATGGTGGTGTGGTGGGCCCTATCAAAATGCGATTAAAATGACTGACGGAAGCTATCTGCTTTCTCTCTGCAGGTCCGCATATTCCCTTACCTGATTGGTCGAGAGTCGGCCTTCGCAGATAATCTGAAATGGATGGCATGTGCTAACAAAGGTGGGATCTTACAACACATGCATAGACTGCTCTACTTTTTTCCTCCTCATAATCTGTTTTTGCTGAGGAAAGTTGCTGCATGTTGCTGTCACCCAGGCGAAAATGAATACATTATGGAGCTCGGGATTTGTTTGGGGTGTCTGGCGTATGTGTCTGTGCACGTGCATGCAGTTGCATAGACATGCGTTTGTCACTGCTCATCAGAATTAGCATGTGTATGTGACAGCAGGCAGCTGGTTCCAGTTGCACAGACCAGATATGTCACATTACATCTTCTTCTAAGCCTAAAGTCCAAACTATCTTGGCGATACACCACTTTTCGGCTGCTTTGTGTGTGGTCATGGTTGTCTCAGTGTGTAGAACGCTTTCCTTCAGGTTCTATATTTAGCTGGGAGGTGGGTGACAGAGACAGTCTGGCTCCATTTCCTCGGGCTGCCGTAGATAAGACAAGCAAGCCATAGGTCACACAAGGGGTGTGTGTGTGTTTGTGTGTGTGTGTGTGTGTAGATAAGAGGACAAGGGCATCCACAGTTTTGCTTAGAAGTGATATCAGAGAACCCATCCAGTCAGTTTGAGGGTGTCAGTGGTGATGATGAGTCCTGCGTGTGTGTGTGTGTGTGTGTGTGTGTGTGTGTGTGTGTGCGTGCGTGCGTGTGTGTGTGTGCGTGCGTGTGTGTGCGTGCGTGTGTGTGTGTCGTGCTACATAAGTACATGTGTGTTTGTATGCCGGATGATGAGTCAGGCTTGTGACAGTGACATCCTCTTTAGCCTGCAGGAGCTGTGCAGAACAGCTTCTCTGCTCCCTAGGCACAACATCTCTATTCCATCTCTACTGCAAACAGCAGATTCGGTTTCATTTCTTCGCTGTTTTACTGTAGGTAGCTTTTCAGGTGCAAAAGTGTCACCTTGTCTGCTCTGTCGCTGAAAGCTGTGATGACAAAATCTCTCTCCTTGGCCTTTGAGTGGAGCAAAGAATATTGTTAAGATTCTGGAAATGCTAAGTATCATGGCACAGGGAGTACTGTGTGGAATAATTTCAGGTTTACCACTAAGCCTTATGGCTGTGAAACCTACTAACAGGCCATACTTATGACAAATGCCTTTGGTTGCCGGTCAACAAGAAAAAGGTGCAAGCTTTAGCTGAAACCTGAATGAGCTTGACCAGCTTTCGGCGATCAATCCACTTGCTCCTTGCAGTATTGCTCACTTGACTCTATGGCTAACGCAGCTCGGTCAGGGCTGCTCTGTTATGATATTCATACCATGCAAAAACACACACCTTGGTTTTAGATTTTTTTGCACCCCGAACTAATTCTCCCCCTGTTTCACAGAGACAGGGTCATCCATCATGGCGATGGAGAACTTTAATCCTTGCTGTAGCTCAGCTCCAGTTCATTTAGGTTAACAAATAGATTCAGGCAGACATTAAAGGAAAATACTTAAGGATTGAGGGTTACCAGTCATTTTCAACAGCAACAACAGGGGTTGCACCTTCAGCCAGAGGCAACTCTCTTCTCTTCTTCCTCTCTTCTGGCTCCCCTGGTGTCTGCCCTCAGGCCGGCTCATATGGCGTAAGACTCGCCCTCCAGAGACTAGCAGCCAATCAAAAATGAGACAACCTGCGACCGTGGCACTGAGATATAGCACCTTTAATATGTTGATGGACTACAGTGTATGTATGTATAATACAGTATACTCCATCAGTGGATTTTCTATTGTCTCTCAAACATACAGTGTATAGCCAAAAGTAAGTGGACACCCCCAGACCAATATTTTTGTTTACTTATCAAGGGAAAGTGCTTTATTTAGTGTTACATTATATCTTAGACAATAGGATCCAACTTTATGGCAACAGTTTACTATGAGAAGCTCTCCTGGTGTGTGTCTGTCTGTCTGTCTTTCCTTCTGTCTTTGGGATGGGAAGTGGCATTACAGAGTCATAGCCATGGTGTTTATTATAATCAAAGTTAATGTAATCCCGTAGGTATGTCTTATTAAGCTTTGAATATAGCAGAGTTATTATGCGTTGTATTTAGAACCACAGAAGAGACACAAATCTCTTGTGTATGTATGATGTCGTCTCCCTTACGGTACTTGTGACTTGAAAGGTGGGGGTCAAAGCAGGAAATACACCTCAGAGTCTTGGCTATTATGCCCCTGTTGAGAAGGGGGCCACTGAATTTGGCTTCATTGCATTTCCAAATCCAAGCAGTTTGGTTCAAGCTCATTTTGATCACATGAAAAGCAGTTTTTACATTATGTGTATTGTTGAAAAAATTACGTGTGTTAACATAACATGTCGACAAGAATCTATGCGATCACGTGTGCAGTTAATGCCCATGTTTCTGGAATTTGATGTTCACCAGTCACATATGGGTGTACGTGAAGGTGTCCACATATTTTTGTAGTGTAGCTTAGCTCTGCCTCACATCATGACATTTTTCACGTCCACCTCATCCATTCCGTTCATGTATCAGGACACCTTGTTGTGTATTTTTACCCACACGTCACCAAACCAAGGTCCTTTAAAAATATATGAATGCCCTCATCCTGATCAGACCAATGCAGAGGCTGTCCTGCCCTGTATGTGCGACAGGTGTACCATGTCACTGAAAGCAGGGAGCATTCATTTTTTTCCCCCTCCCCAGCTCATCTCACTGGCCCCGGTGGCTCAGCCCGAAGGACGCTCTCAGCCTTCCAGTGGGAGTAGTCATTCTTCACTCACCATTGTGATGAACGATGCAGTTAGACTGAGGCAGCTTGCTTTGTGTGATGTGAGTCTGTATATGTGTGTGTTGTCATTGCACTGTCTGGTGGAATAATAGCCGGATCTGAATGTCTCTGAGGATTAAAGGGATGAATCCGTCAAGCACTCTGTCTCATTTCGGATACTTCCTTCGGTACACTGTGTTTACTGCGTCCTTACTTGTGTAGTGTGTGAATTTCGACAGGGTAGTGTTGTCTCAAATTGAACATGGCCGTTGTGCACACTCACTAGAAATGATGTTTGCAACATTTGACCATGATTTTTGCATCACCCGTCAAAATATCTTCCTGCTTGTAGTGGCACACCTGGTAGAGCGAGTACCATTAAGGCTTAAACCTAATCACAGCGGCCCGGGTTCGAATCCAACCTGCGGCCCTTTGCTGCATGTCATCCTCTCTCTCTCTCTCTCCTCAACTTTCCTGTCTCTCTCTCTCTCACTGCATCTGCAATAACGGCATTAAAAAGCCCCAAAAAAAAAAACATAATTGTCAGTGTGAACGCACTTATGCACTCAAGATAGCAAGTGTGAGTACGGAAGAATGCGAAATGAGACACACTGCAGGGTTCACTTCGGGGTCAAGTTCAGAGTCAAGTGCATTCTTGTTGCTATAGTGACTGCAGTAATCATGTACTTTAAATGCCTCCAGCGTTAGTATAGGAAATTAGACTTGAGTCTTTTCTATTTAAAGTTTTTTTTTCTTTGGTGATAGATTTGATATTAGATTATCAGATCCTCTCTTTAGTTATTTTGGGGGGGGGGGGGGTACATGGCATCCATCATAGATCTGTGTGTTGTGTCTAGACTCTGGCTCTTTTCTCCCCGTGGAGTAAAGGTCGTTGCTGGGAACGATGACCCCAAAATCTATTTCCTCCAGCTATGATTTTCTCCTTGACTGCCTCACTGTGATGGAAGCAGTTTGCTGTTTTTACGGATGGGTGGAAATGTGGTGGTCCCTCTCTTCTCCCTTTTTCTCTGTGTCACTTTTCGTCCTCTCTCTCCCTCTGTCTTACCGTTGTCCTGATCCCCCGCCCCCCCCCTCCCCACAGAGATAACAGTATATCCCCTCCTGCATATGCACATTAGCATCATAATGGCAGCATTAACATCGTAGGAAATGGCATCGCATTTGGTTTAACTGAGATTGTTTTTCTGTTACATTTACATACCACTTACCCATTCACAAACCCATGCTGGTTTGTGCTCACTTGTACATCAAGGCAGGGAATTCTTCAGCTATTACTCATACATGTATCCATGTTTCCGACTGCTTCATTAAGCAAATATATGCTGCTTACTGCACTGTATTCCAGATGTAATTTCTCTTCTTTGGTACCAAGGTGAGTACAATGGGAACAATGGCTTGGAAAACATTATACAGCCGAGCTGATATTGGATGTGACACTTGACTGCAATGTGAAACAGTTTTGGAGACACAGAGAATCTTCTTCTGATCAATGTTTTCAAGCAGCATAATGAATGAGGAGCCTGAATCTGTTCTCATTCCATTTTTTGGCAAGCATCTAAGTTAAGCGATTCATCGTCTTTTCTCTCTTCCTCTTCCTCTCTTCTGTCCAACAGGGTACTTCACTCAGATTTCCACATTGGCAGATGTGCAAGAGAATGTGATGGAGTATCTCCACGTGCTGAGCCGTCCCAAGGTGATCGACCGGGAGCACGACACGGTGTGGACTGAGGCCTACATCGATAGCACCGTGAGTCGACAAGGCCATCTCTCACATGCTACTGGACTCCAGTTCCCACAGTGCTCTCTAACCGCACACACCCTCTGGGTTGTCTACATCAGGGGTCCAGAATCCTGTAGTGATGGATTGAGAGATTTAAACGAGAAAAACCTGATCTCACAATGCACTTTGTTTCATCGTGTGTTCAGAGTAATACGTTTGCATTTTCGGGATGAATTAATTGTATAATCCAAATATAGTAGCGATGAACGCAAGTGGAGGGTTGACTGTGTGTTTTGCCTTTTTATGTCTCAGACTGTGACTGTGTGAAAGCAAGTGTGTGTGTGTGTGTGTGTGTGTGTGTGTGTGTGTGCGCGTGTGTGCGCAGCAGATGGAACTATTAAGTCAATGAGCCTCCGGTGTGTGTTTGGGAGTTGTGTAGCGTGAGTAGAACATTGGTGAGTTAGTCTCTGATCTCTCAACATCGTACCATACCGCACACAGACACACATTTAATACACAAAGTTACCAGCTCTTTTGGCACACCTAGCTAAAACGCATGCAACTACTTGTTGAAACTTTATTAGATAGAGGTGTTGATTCAATTTTATGAAGGATTTAGCTTTTGGTGCTATATTATACTGACAGGTGTTGTTGTTATTTATCCTTTAACCTTCGTTGATAACAGTTTCTACAAAATGTGAACATTATAACCTTCATGAAGGTAGGATTTATCACAAGGATGTTGACTCAATTAGTTTCGCAAGGGGTACCTAATAAACTGGCAATGGCAATGGCACATACTCCATATAATACCATGCATAGCTAAGTCCCCCATACATGCCATTATCATCGCTTAAAAAACCCTGGAGGATAGAGGATGACTGACCCATCCAATTCTCTGTAATACATAATCTACACACAATATACTGTGGTATTCATGCATTCACAGAGCTCCTCTTTTGTTTGAGTTATTGTGTTTGGCCATAGAGAGTGAACAGCAGCCATTTGTCCTCAGCTGTTTCTAAATAGATTAAGAGACAGAGAGCTTCAAAAATGTAAGGAGACAAAGGTAAGTGCCCTCTAGCAGAACTACCCACAGGCTATCAACGCTGCAGCACATGAAAGTGAACGCTTTCTCTCTGCAGTCCTCTTCATATCCCTCATGTTTTACATTTTTGTCTGTCTTTCTCCGCTTATTTTCGTCCTCATTATCCCCATGCGTTTATCACAGTCAAAGTACATGCACTCAACTCTGACTCAACAGCAACAGCTTAAGTGTTGCTTCCTCTGCTGTGAGCCTGATAGCCATAAAGCTCTCCTCTCTTGACACAGCCACTGTTTTTAAAGTTGCAGTCAAAGTCAATGTCAGTGGATTTAACGCACCCACTGGTGCTAGAACTCCATTCAGTGGAAACTACACTGGAAGGCTTTCTGAAACTTATCCACAAACGTATTGACCCTTTCTCTCCCCCTCCCCTCCCCCCTTCCTCTTCCTTCTTCTCCCCTCCTCTCCTCCTTAATCTGCTCTTTAGCTCCCCCAAGCGCAAAAGGTAAAAAAATCCTGCTTTGAGGTCATCGCTGTATTGTGCTGTGTTGAGGCCTGGTGTGTGTCCATGTGCATGTGCGTTCTGGTCTCTGATCTTTGTGAGATGAAGGCATAATTGGGGTGAACTAACCACCATATACTGACCCATGGCATTTTCTTGTGTGTCACTCTCGTATGTTGTCCGTCAACCTCCTGATTCAAACCATGCATCGTGGTTGTTGTCGGTTCAGTTGATCGCTCTCTTCTGCACGTCTGATCAAACACACTCTCACACACACACACACACACACACACACACACACACACACACACACTAACGCACACTAACACACACACACACACACACACACACACATACACACACACATACACACACACACGTCTGTGCACACTCACACTCATTCATCATTGATGATTCTGTGTTGGCCGTGCTTTGCCAGTATCTCCCGGCCTGGCAGTGTGACCGTGTGTGTAAATGTGAGGCTACATTTTGCTCTTTTGCCTGTGTGATTTTGGTGTGAAAACAAGATTGCCTGTGTTATTTGTTTTGGTAGAATTCTCCAGAATAAGCTGTTTTGTCATCTTCTTGGTGAAAATCCAATAGCCTATAATGACTGGCGGGATGATCTGTTCTGATGCGTTTTTATCGTTTTCAGTGTTTTATAAATCATATGTGGGTTGAGATAAGCAGCTCTATAATCATAACAATAATGATGGTGGCCCCCAACCCCTTACATCCCCCCCCACCCCACACACACACACACCCACCCCCCCAGCATTAGCTGAGCATAGAGCAGTCACATTAGACAGCTGGCAGCCCATATGTCTGACATGGTACTGTTAGTGTGATAGACCCGAGCCGATTGACATCGAAGCGGCTCAGCAGAAAACAGAAATAGATATCATATTGTTAGACATGATAATTGGGATTAGCTAGGAATCTGCACTGCTTCTTTGCATATAATCACCCCAGCACAGCTCCGGCCTGGGCGCTGTGAGAACACGTACGCAACAGTCGTCTGCAAGTGAAACAGACGGTAACTGACAGACACACAAACGTACGCCCCTGCGTGCTGATAGTGTCTGATAAGAAAGTTCGCAAAACTCCAAGGATTGGCTGAGTGTTAGGCAAATTATGAGCATCTGAGATCTCGTTATCCAGGGCTGATGAGTAACATCTTTCCAGACGTACCCTCCATCCTATCTTTTCTTTCTTCTCCCCATTCCTCACATTGCAGCCTTTCTCTCCGAAAGCGTATCTCCCCTTTCTTCCTCGGTTTTACTGTCACGTCTCCCTCTCCAGCTCCTTTCCTTTCCTCCACCTGTGCTCGTCCCTCCACTCTTGAAACCCCCCCCCACTCCCCACACCCCTCACCCCCACCCCAACAACCACCACCACCGCTCCCTCCTCTTCCTCCTATCCTTCGTCTCACCGGCTTCATCCATCATTTCCTGGTCATCATGGACTTGGTTTCCCACTAACGTGTCGATGGAACTGACCACTGCAGCTCAGGATGATGTAGGAGGACAGGTTTAGTGGTAACGCTGGGTAGCTCGTGAGAAAGGCAGTGGCGCCAGTGGGCGCGTGGCGGTTTTTCAGACTGTTTGAGAAAGAATGTGAGAAATTTGAAGAAAATATGGTACAGGATCCAGTGGAAGTTTGGAAGAAAATATAAAGGATGTGAACAAACTGAAGTAGTACGCTGTTGTAAATGTCTTGACGGATGAATATAAACCCCACCATTTCAAACCAGAAATCGTTATATTGATTGAGGTAATTGAGAGCTTCCATAGATAATCCCAAAAGTAAAAACGTGTGCTGGGTCCGTGCCAGCTCGGCTTCCCATGGGGTATGTTTTAGTTTTCCCAAAAGAGCCTACACGGGGGCTGTGGCTCCATCACTTACACACACCAACATCATTAAGCTCGGTCTCCAAGGAAACAAGAGTCACCTCGTCCAACCAGCGCGCAATTTGTCACAGCAACTTAGATTAAGAGGTGACCTGTGAGACACCAAACACAGGGCAGGGGTGTGTATCTGAACCCTCTGAGGGGTGTAAGTGTGTGGGTATTTGTGTCAGTGGGGAGCTAGTGTGTTAGATCCCAGTGGAGTTCTTTTTTCATCCTCTGACCCACAGCGGGGGGAAAGGACTTACACACCTCATTTACTCTGACTGATACAGATAAACCCACAGAGGCAGTGATGATGCAGATTTGGCCCAAATGTGTGCTGTGAGCTCTGACCTTACATCAGAGGTCACGGGTTATGTATGGTAAGTCAAACTCTAGAGAAAGAGCTCTCCCATAGGGACTTGGGGCACGGTCATGTTGGAGGACACTCATGTATATGGTTCAAGGAAGTGCCTCTTTACTCTCCTGGGTTGGGATAATGAAGCACAAGTTTAAAGGGCTTTCATCCCCTGGGTAGGGCAAGTGAAGATCATCCGTAGTGCGATGTTGGCTTTGAGTACAACAGATGCAGTTGCTGGCTGCCTTTCTCCATGCAGCTCTTGTTATCTTCTTAATTACAGTCATGTCATGTCATTTTCCAGAGCAGCTGGGCAAGCTTGATTTTCACCAAGCGCACATATAGTGAAAATAAAACATCTTAGGTTCAAGTACAAAGAGTGCACATTTGATGGGGATTGCTCAGCAACAGTTCGTGGGGATACGCAATAAATGTCAGTCCATATGTTTACAGACAGGTGATATATGATCCAATACACCTGGGCTTGGAAATAGATTTTGTATTTTTAGAACGAGGCTCTGCTCGTTTCGCCTGTCCTTTGATCGATCCCATTCTCCAGCAGCAAGGCTGTCCATTGTTACAGCAGCTGTACTTAGGTGTGCTTTGTTCTCTCTTTGATGTCTAATACTGCGTTGTGGATTGCTATTACCAGCTGTCTGAGCTCTGGTCACCAATTTCCCCCTTTTCTCAGTGTCTGAGGGAGACAGAATGGATGCTAGCAGTCTCCTGTCATTACCTATTATTACTGGTGGGAGGGGGGTGGGGGGTGGGGGGGGTGCTGCTGCTGGAGGAAGCAGACTGTTCAGGAGGCATGTAATGTTCATTTAAGATGATTGGTTAAATGGGTGGTTCCCTTAGAAAAAGCGCTATGCTGGAATTTGATAACACAATCTGAAAGTAATACTCTGTTGATTGCTGCAGCGGAAACAAATCATATGTGATGTGAGTTGTGCTTTTTTTGCCTCCACTATCTAACTTCAGCCATTGTGGATTTTGTTCAGGGATTCATATCGCAATTAAAGCACCAATTACTTGTGCTGACTTGAGCACAAACTGCACGAGTGACTGACATTTAGCCAGTTTCGACATTTAGGAGTGGACAAGGTCAGACCACTTTTTGCCGAGTACGAAGCCTTCCTCCGGTCTCCTCATAACAGTGTCAAGCTTTCATCTCTAATGGATATCATCGGCAGATACAGACAGCCGCCGGAAAGATAAATATCATAATTATTCCAGCAGTCTTTAGGGAGGGAAGATACCCAGATCCAAACTAGAAGCATTGCCTTTGGATAAGCTTATTCTGCACGAGATCAAAGGCAGGCTGTGATTGAATACATTTTAAGGCAAATAATAGACATGAATAAAACATGTCATGGAAGTTTTGCAGGTCCCTCAAGAAGATAATATGACTAGGTCTGCTGCAGAACTCCTATCAGGTTCGCTACTAAAGCAACGGGTGTTATGCAGCTTGAAATAATCACTCACTGGGTGTTACGAAGCAAGATCTTTCATTTAATATGCATGATGCCACGCAATGTGCTGTGCAGTTACATTTCTTTTGCAACTGTAACAACAATGTTTCATCATTAGCTTCCCTCTTTTCCCTCCCTCTCTCTCTCTCTCTCTCTCTCCTTCTTACTCTATTGCTCTCTTTCACTGTTCATATCTCATGACTCATTCAGTTGGACGACGGTCAAGGTCCAGTTCTGATGACCACAGTGGCAATGCCAGTGTTCAGTACCAAGAATGAGACTGTAAGTTCACATAGCACGTAAATTTCCACAGCCGTTGTTTTTCCCCTGCTATTTTTCTCCAACAAACTTGCAGTTTAATTGAAAAACTATGCAATTACTTCTTGTATAACTCAAGAGAAATTAGGTTTTGAGAGATTAGACGCAAATTGTGAAATAATGGTTAATTATGTTTGTATTTGAAGGACACTAATTTCAGTTTGATTGGAATCTGTAAATGAGGATACAGTAGAGCATCACTAATTGGATATATATTGTAAACTGAAATTTCTTATATCATAAACAGTGGATCTGTAAGAGACGGTGTTATGTAAGTGACCTTTCAAACACAATTTAAGAATTGTTGTAATGTGTTTGCTTCCAGAGAAACCGCGGGATCCTTCTAGGGGTGGTTGGGACAGATGTGCCCGTCTCTGAGCTGCTCAAGACCATCCCCAAATACAAGGTACCACACCCAACGTCACTCCATTATTCCTATGAGTAATTATAGATGTGAGGGGTTTTATATTCAGAACCAAACTTGGATGTCTTTTTCAACCACATGATTGGGCTTTATGAATGCGCTATTCACCTGGATGCTAAGTCAGTAAAAAACTAAAGCAAGTGAAAGGATTTTTTTGATTTTTTTAATATTTTATTACTCATGTCTGTGCGTATGTCAGTCCTGCTCCACGGTGCGGTAATTGAATGCCAAAACCAGTAGGAGATAAATCTGAGGTTTTGTTGAAGTTGTGACACTGATTATTCACAGCTCATTACTCATGTCCAGTTATGACAAGAAAATTATACACATTATGTATACTAATGCATTCTGGTAGTGTCCCCCACCACACCCCCTGTGTTGATTTCTTTTACTTGTAGATGTGAACCTTGGTTGGGTGTAAGGTTTTAAGCTTTGAAAGTGTCTTATTTGTCCAGACATGCACGACTGAAGCCGGCCTTCTGTATTGTGCAGTTTTGTAAGTTTCACCACAAAGACAAAGATTCTGTCTGTGAAAATTACAAAGAGCTTGATTAGCGGGGATTTACAATGAGCTACGCTCTTCATGCATCCATTTCGTGCGTCTGTGTGTGTGTGTGTGTTTTTGTGTGTATCCTTCTAGCTGGGCATTCACGGCTACGCCTTTGCAATCACCAACAACGGCTACATCCTCACGCACCCAGATCTACGGCCACTTGTGAGTATTACCTCCAGCGCCATTCAAGTGCTCTGTTACGAGTTAACTGAGTATGAACCTTATTATCATAACAATCCTTTTCACGGCGTAGAGATTGAAGTTCAAATGTATTAATTTATTTTGTACAGACCACTGAGGAATACTAACTCTTGAGTTCATGTCAAGTCAATTACTGATTTCGTTGTCACATTGTGATGCCGATTGACATCGAAAATTTGTGTGTAGTTGTGTGGGTGCTCTATGTCTATGTGCCGTGCGCCACGTGTGTGTGTTGGCTATGTGGTGGTATGCAGATGAGGGGATTGTGTTCCAGGCCTCCGCTGGTGCTGTGAATAGACAGAGATACAGCCTCTGAATGGCTGTGATTAACTCCATTGTACTCACTCACTCCTCTCACAAGAGGATGAGGGGAGAAAGTGCAGAGAGGGAGGGAGGGAGGGGAGGGGGGGTGGGAGAGACGGAGCTTGAGGAAAGCAAGGAACCTGCTTAATGTGAGAATAGGTGCAGAGTGACAAAGCGGGGTGCAACACTGGAAGGAAATGGAGAGATACTGAGGGATGAGGAGAACAGACGAGGAGGAGAAGAGAGAACAGACAGTGACACAGACAGACAGATGGTTTAATGGCGGTCTAATTAAAGACGCTAATGAACAGTGTTTAACAACTAATGAGAGGTGGGATGCTGTCCTCATTGACAGATGAATGGAGAGGGGGGCTCACAAGTACACACATACAGCAGACACACACGGATAGACACATAAAGTACACATTAATAAGCCCAATACTCTGGCCTGTGTCACCTTTATTTACTGTCCATATCAAACAGGGTCTTAGGGGGAGAGGAGAGGAGAGGAGGGGAGGGGAGGGGAGGGGATATAAATGAACATCACAGATACATATATCAACCCTCTAAAAAAAAAAATGTCTGTTAAATATGAAGCGAGAGACAGGAGATGATCAGCTTAGCTTTACCTGGTTGCTTGGTCACTTCGTGGTGATGGTAAAACTCCAGGGAGTCACTGCACCCACCAAGATATAGTTACAGCATGCAACTCTCTGTGAAATCCAAAAATGTGTCTTTTTTTTACATTTCTGTTTTTCCATTGATTAAATAACCGTGTGTTAATTAATGTTGATGAGATTTAGTGGAGCTAGTAGGTGGATCTTTTTCTTTTTTTTTTACTCCACACAGACCCAGGCTGTTTCCACCTTCCTGTCTTTATGCTTGAAGCTAACTGTCTCAATTCTTCTGTGTCCTGTCCTGCCAGAAAATACAATTTAATTTGTGATTTATTTGCTGTTTTTTTTGGTTTTTTTGCAACATTTATTTCGCAGCTTCTCAAATGCTTCTTTTATCTAGTTCATATCATTGTAAATTGACTATCACTACACTGGCTACCACAATGCTGAACAAACAAACAATTTCAGATTGTCACCTTGGGCTGGTATTTTCACTATCTATTTCATTATTTTTGGATATTTTATTGACTATTATAACATATAATGAAGAAAAAAATCGAGTCATTGTAAATAACAATGATAATGGGCTGCAGTCCTCTTTTATGGTATACTCTTTCATTTTCTCCAGTGTCTCTCTATCTCTGTGCATGCATGTGTGTTTACATGGTTCCTGTGTGTCCAGTATGGGGACGGCAAGAAGCGAAGGAAGCCAAACTACAGCAGTGTGGATCTGTCTGAGGTGGAGTGGGAGGATAAGGACGACACGGTGAGATACTTGTAGTAAATCTGCATGAAACATCACCACACACTCACCCCACAATGAAAATCTGATGTTCGAAATTTCCTCTGTTCTTTGTGTTGCTAGCTGAGAAATGCTATGGTCAACAGGAAGACAGGGACCTTCTCCATGGAGGTGAAGAAGAGTGTCGACAAAGGGGTGAGGAGCCCAAAATTCAGAAATTCACAAACACACACCAATGAGCACTTTTCGGATGGTCCCAAAGGGTGAGCCAGAGAAAATACTCAGCAGGGAGAATCCACTCTGCCAAGGGGTTGTTACACTTGGCACAGTAATGTACAGGATTGACTAGGGGATTTTGTTTCTGATTTGGTTTGCTCTGCATGCATGGGTGTGTGTCTGTCTGTGTGTGAGCCCCTTATCTCCACCAAGCACATGTTGCTGAATGCGGGAGAGACAGCAGCCCAGTGATTCTCTTTTACTATTTGCCTGTCTGAGAGAGGGAGAGAGAGAGGCACTCAGGTGTGTGTGTGTACACGTGCGTGTGCGTGTGCGTGTGTGTGCGCGCGCGTGTGCATTTTCAAAGCTTAGTCAAGAGCATTATACATTAGCCTGATTATTAAGCATTCAGTATGTAAATGCACATCTGCAGACACACATATACACACACTCAAATCTACACGTACCTGCATATTCACGCTGCAGAACCACACATCCATCTGCAGAGTAACAGGTCCAGTGACAGACTGCTAACCAAAAGCATGTACTCCCTGCGCCACTAGATGGAGCCAGAGTGCAGGGAATCACATCAGATAACTGCCATCGCACTGCCGACTGTTTACTGCAGCGTGTAATAGAATTTATTAATCTCTTTCATTTCAGAAACGTGTATTGGTGTTGCATAATGATTACTTCTACACAGACATCAAGGGGACTCCTTTCAGGTAAGAAAACTGGAGCCATTTCTTTGAGCAGTGAATACAGTTTAGAGTGACTGAAGAATAAGGAATCCCAGTTTTCTCTGCATAACAAAGAACTGGTAAATTATCTATTTAGAATTTATTTTGTTGTTGTTGTTATTTTTAGTCTAGGTGTAGCTCTTTCCAGAGGCCACGGGAAGTTTTTCTTCAGAGGGAATGTCACAGTGGAGGAAGGTAGCAAATCCTCACCTTTTCTGTTACTTACTTTTACCTTTGTTATCTTTGTCATCATTTCTGTCTGTTGTGCTCTGTCTGTGTATAACACCCCACCCTCACCCCCCTCCCCACCTGCCACCTCTCATACGAGAAATTCTGTGCTTCCCAATAAAGACATTACATGCACTGAGTGCTTCAAATTGAAATAGACATAGAAAGAACAGGCATGACATAATAATGTAACATAAGATGGAAAATATAACCCATTTGATAATAATAATAATATTAGAATAGAATAATAATAATATTGGAATAAAAAAATAAAGTAAAATACAACATTTTAAAAGAAGTGCAGCAGTGTATAAGTGCAAAGCAGAGTCATAGCTAGTTGAAGGCTAAAGTGAAGAGATGTGCTTTTAGCTTTCTTTTAGAAATATTTTCATTTAAAAATATTCCGCTGGCTGGTTTCCCTGATATCTAATCTGTATTTAAGCAATATCATACGAGAGGGACTGATGTACTGAATATCAGCACAGCTGTGATTCGGTCATAGGTACAAGGCTGCAGCCATGGATTCTGTGTATTTAATACAGGGAATTATATCTGATATAATATAGAATTCCATTAAAAGTAAAAGTTCTGCTTTCAGAATTTTACTGCCTTAAAATACAAAAATATTTTTAATATAAAGTTAATATTTTGTCGTTGGTAATTTTCTAAGCATAAGCAGCTCTATAGTTTCACTGCTGTATGCTTGATTAGGACCAGTCATGGCTGCAGTCACTGGCCCCGGATTGGTTAAGATGCGAAACAAGTTGTCGGGGCTTGCTAGTTAATATAGTAAAGTTGACGAGCATGGAGAGCACACAAGTGTTTGTAGTGCTTGTTGTGTCAAACTTGTTTATTGTGTTACCATGTCTCAGTATTTTCAGTAGATGATTTGAATGAAAAACGCAGATTTTACTGAAGCACACTTCAACTATTTGCTTCAACTCTATAGCTTAAGTTGGAAAATGGACATAGCCACACTAACATTACTTAAGTATCACAAGTAAAAGTATTAGCAGAATGTCCCCTCTCAGATCTTCATATAATAAAATTATTATTACTTATGAATTAACATCTAAGTGGCATTTTAATGTTGCACCTGGAAGTGGAACTAATTCTATCTACTTCATACTCTTTTGGGAATTTCAATCATAAGTTTAATATAAGCTGATTATATATATATATATGGTATGTAGCCTATACTATACATATATTTATATATATATACAGTATATATATATACATATATACTATATAGCTATGGTCTAGGTTACTGGTACACTATAGCTTTGAAATACTGGAAGTGCAGTGAAGTATAATTTCCCTCAAAAATGTTGTGGAGTATAAGTTTAAAGTAGCGTAAATTGAAAATACCTTAAGTACAAGCAGGGGCGGCCAGTAATGAAGTACATTTACTTGAGCACTGTACTTAAGTATATTTTTCCGTATCAGTACTTTACTTGAGTATCTTTTTTTTTTTTTTTAGAAACTTATGACTTTAACTCCTTTACCCTTAAAAGACAAATACTATACTTGTGATTCCACTACATTTCTCTGAAGTACTCGTTACTTTGAAGCAGAGCTTTTAGTCAGCGGAATTGATTTTCTAAAATGCAGTAGACCATACACTGTGTTCATCGCAGGAGAACAACCAGCCAACTCCTACGCTGTCAGTCATGTTTGAACAGCTCAGTTTGAACCTGGCAGCGACCTGACGATGGCTACATCAGATAAAGATGACGCAGAAGATTCTTCACCAGAGCACCGTGCTCTTATCTTAAGTCCATGTTTGAAGTTTTCAAAAGAAAGAAATATTCCTTTAGTATAATATTTGCCTTGTTTACCACGATGATCAAACTTCACCACTGCCTACAAAAATTAGTCATCCAACTTGTGAAAGCGTGTCGAGGTAATGTTCGTTTAGTTCCAGATAAACCTTTAATCGGACAGCTCATAGTAGTAGCCATTTTTATGCTGAGGTTGGTCAAGTGACTAATGGTCATTTCTATAGGCTTTTTTTTAAAAAGCTTTTTATTCTACAGGTGTAGAATGTATGCACTTTTGAATAGTTAGGTATTTTTAAAATCAAGTACTCCAGTACTCCAAGACTTTCATTTGTATTGGAGTAATATTTGACCAGGAGTCTCTATACTTTGACTTAAGTAATGGAGCTGTGTGCACTGTCCACCTCTGAGTACAAGTACTTCAAAAGTCTACTTAAGAACAATACTTGTAAATGTGCTTTCTTCTTCTCCCCCACTCATAACTGATATATACATAACTAGGGATTATTTTTCATGTGGTCTTTGTTTCTCCCACTTTCTTCCATCTCTCTGTCGCTCACACACTCACACACACATTCAGTAGTAATGTATTAATAATGAACTTGAAAGCCACAATTGGGCAGGAAGTGAAATATTTCTCTTGTGGCTCCTTAGGTGTGTTGTACTTGTCCTTGTCTTGACAGTGTAAGCGTATGTTGGCCCCTGTGTGTATGTGTGTCTATTTTTATGTCCAGCCTCATGCATGTTAATATTCATGTAGCGGTGGTGTGTGTCTGTGTCTGTGTCTGTGTGTTTCTCTAAACATGTCCATCATGCGGAGCCCTCTGAGCATGACTTGGCTCTTCCTGATCTAATCAGACCTGTCACATCCATTCAAAAAACACATTTTTCACCCCTGGTGTGTGTGTTTAAGTGTGTGTGCATTTGAGGTGTAGATGCCTAGCCCTATTATTATGAGTTCACATTGAGTGCCTTTGCTCATTTAGTTTGAGATATGTAGTTCTTATTTTGTTACAGGACTTCATGACTTGGAGCATCCTGATGTAGCACTGGCAGACGAGTGGTAAGAGTATATCAACATCGCTGTATGTTCTGTTCTGACAATACACCGAGTGACATTGTGATTGGACTTCATCCTAAATATACTGCCAAATTATAAAATCAAACAAAGTTATAGTTTTGCTGCAATACAACAGTTATACAACCGCTTTGGGATCTGTAGGACTTTGACTTGATGGTTTGTGTCACTTGATGACTTGTGGTCACCAGGATTCGGAACCAACATCTAAACAAATTACAGTAAATGCTTTTCAAACTAATGCTTGTAAATGGGAAAACCATCTTTGTTTTACTTCTGACTTTGTTCATTGTGGATGCCTCGCAATCACAACGCAACTGAAAGCAACTGGATTATATGACGGAGGTTCAATAGTTATTGCAATTTGAAGCAGATAATAAATAATTGGCTAAGAAATCGGTTTTGAAAGGAAACTATCTGTGACTGTATGTTATATAACAATAAAAAAAAAATATCTGTATTGTCTTATCTTGTCATATGACAGGACATACTGCAACACAGACGAGCACCCAGAGCACCGCTACCTGTCCCAGATAGAGGCGATCAAACTCTATCTCAGTGGCCACGAACCCCACCTGCAATGTTAGTTAAACTCAACTACATCCCGCCTTCCTTAATTAAATTTTTATCTGATGTTTTTTTTTTTTTGTGGTCACTGGTTTGCTAATGAACATGAACAATATTTTTTTTGCTTTGTTAGGTGACAAGGAGCTAATTCAGGAGGTTCTCTTTGATGCGGTCGTGACTGCCCCGTTGGAGGCCTACTGGACCAGCCTCGTACTCAATAAGTCTGAGTAGGTCGCTGTTCTTTTTTTCATGTTCTTATTGAAGACAGAAAATGTTATTCAAGGACTCAACTCAAAATCTTGCAGTTTATTTTACCAAACACCAAAAATCCTCATGTCTGTTAAAGCTTTTATTTCTGTTTAGATAGTACTGAGAGCAAACAGACTGTATAACTGTGCACAATTGCAGATTATCTCTTTGTCATAATACACAGGAACTCTGACAAAGGAGTAGAGATAGCCTACCTGGGCACAAGAACAGGCCTTTCCAGAATAAACCTGTTTGTGGTGCCTGACGAGCTTACAAACCAGTAAGTATGCTGACTTTATGTACAGTATGTAGTCTATATGTATGTATAGTGTGCACACTTGCTCCCTTCCTGGTTCCAAAATGCACATCCTATGTTTTGCATATGCATCATTTGTATCATCACCTCTGCTTCCTGTCTGCTTCAAGAGACTTCCTGACAGCTGAAGACAAAGAGGGGGTGTTCAACGCCGACCACTTTCCCCTGTGGTACAAGAGAGCGGCAGAACAAGTTCCTGGTACCTTTGTCTACTCTCTACCTTTCAACACAGGTTAGTCGTACATTTTTATTTCTGAAAGACGATAAATCAATTATCCTCACAACGTCAAATGTTTAGAAATATGGCAGATATCACTTATAAATTCTTTATAGTTCTACACAGTAGCCATTACTAGTGTAACGTAATGCAACTTGTAGTCATTGTAAGAATAACAGCACCAAGTGCAACAGGACACATACTCGCCTACTATAAGGTAATTCAAAACAAGCTTACAGTTTGTCAAATGCACAAATTAAGTTATTTAGTCATTTATATCACAAAGAGCTTTTTTAATATCCTCCATCCCCTTTTTTCCTCTTTTACCCATATTTGGTCGTTTTCTCTCGCCATGCATCTCTGCCTCCCCTTCCTCTCTTATTAATTCTGGGCTGTGTTCTTGTGGAAAGGACTGATTGCTGTGGGTTGAAATAAGATACTTTAGGAAGAGGTTCAGCCCTTTCCATAGTGACTTGGCCAGAACACACAAATACACACTCACAAAAAGATACACACACACACACACACACACACACACACACACACATACACATAAGCACCTCACGCATATTCAGTTTAACTATGTCTCTAAGAAATGGTTTCTCCTCCAGAGGGAGAATGTGTTCTCATCTGTCCTCAGCCTCAGGCTTTCCATTAGTGCCAGCTAATACAAGTGATCTGAGAGCCTCTTATTTACTCGGCGGACTTGCCTTGGATGCACTCTTCCTCTGAGGACTGTGGCAGTTAGATGTAGCCATGAAATAGTACTCTGTGGTATTTATGTTCAGTGTTTCTCTCTCCAATCACCCTGTGGTCAGTTCAGAACTAATATAAGAAATTATGATATGACTGTGATTTGAACTCAGTGTGTGTGCCTGTGTGTGTGTGTGTGTGTATTGTGTGCGCTTATGTGTGTGGCTTAGGATCAGAAAACAAGAGTGTTGTATTGGCCAGCACTGCCATTCAGCTTCTGGATGAGAGGAAATCACCCATAGCTGCGGGTAAGTGGGAACTCAAGTGGCTCTTTCTCTCACACACTACCACACTTCTACATTGACAGAGGCTGTAATATTCTCTTCCTTACACCGCTTTGCTATGCTAGGCTAGGCTTTGTTTTACTGGTCTGCAGTTGTCTACCCCAACTTCTTTTCCGCTTTTTGAGTTGAAACACTGTCACTGCCCACATGTACTGACTATGCTGCTTTTTTTGTCAGTGCGCCTGCCCCTGCATGAACGTATGCTCAGTAGAAGGCGAGAGTGCAACATAGCACGGACGTTTGCATCCAGGAATATTTATGCCTAAATATATTAATAGAAGCCACTTTCATAAGCGCCTTTTGTGCCTTCATATTTGCCTCTATGCTTATTTAAGGCATATTGTGGCCTAGAGGATTTCTTTGTGGCCTGCCTCATCTCACGTCCTGGTGACTCAGAAGCCCCAAAATGTCACGCCCATATAATGCAACTTGTGCAATCAGCAAGTTGATGGTATGAAGTGCGGCCCTTGTTCTGTTCTCCATCATCTTGGTTACAGAGGAAAGGAGCAACGGATTAAATGGAAGAAATGGCAAAAAAAAAAGTGTGAGGTTGAAACAGAGACATGTGGTTTAACAGTAGTTATGGTATTATCTTTAGGAAACTTGTGATTTGACATCATTCACTACCCACCTCTCCCCAACAGCATGAGATGACTTTCAGTCGCTGGTCTGTATATTATGTAACTAATTCCATACTTTTACTGTTGTACTGCACAGATGAGGATGACAAGCAAGTTTTGACATGACAAAGATTGTAATTAACATAAAGAAAGTTGGCAGCACTTTGCTTGCAAAATGGGAATATTTATTACAGCTTCTGATGTGTAGAAATGGATACACTGAGTAAAATAAAAACATATGAAATCGCAAAAATATGCAGATAAGTATCTGGTGTCTTGCCGAGTCCTATTCCTCAGGCGGCTATGCTTACAGTAAGGTGCCTCCAACTTTCTTCATGTTTATCCCATTTTTTTATGCATTTGGGAGTCCCACTGTTCTCCCAATGTGTTCTACATTGATATCCTTAGTAATCACACAGTACAAATGTCTTAAATGAACAAGTTATTACACAGTTTAAAGTACAGTATGCAGAGCGTGTGGAGTATTGCAATCCTTTCCACCTCCCAACATATGTACCAAGGACCAATGTGGAGCACAGCTTTTGCTTCATATTAAAAACCTCTTCAGATGATTATCTATGTAAGCTCTCCTGTTGACAGATGAGGGCTAATAATGCCAGCAGAGGAATCGCAAAAAAAAAAAAAAATATGTGGGCAGAGGAAAGAAAAAGGGAAGAAAGGAAAAAAAAGAGGAGAATCTTTTGGAAAAGCAGTGATAAAATAAGAGAAGAAATAAAAGGGCAGAGAAAGAGAAAATTATATCACGGTGCATGAGTGCGTCGACATGAAAGCAGTGCATTGTGGGTACTCTTGGCCTGGGGGAAACCACTGGAGCAGAAGGACAGAGATGGGAGAGTCTGTGTGGTGCCACAGCGCGCGCGCACACACACACACACACACACACACACACACACACACACACACACACGCACATAGAGTATTCATCATATTTCTAGCCAAGCGGCACACAAGCAGCCCACAGTTTACACCAGCCCACAGTATTATCTGACACTGTTGACTCGATCACTGTTCTTTTAAGATAACATCGTTCCTCCCAAGTCCTGTTGAACAGCAATCCAAATGACTAATCAGTAACGAGGATTCATGAAGACCTTAATGTTACAGTGGATGCTGATGTGTAGTAATGACAATCATGCTGATCATACTGGGGGGATGTATGTAAGGATGATTTTATATAAGAGAGTCAGATGGGAGGAGAGATGTAGGCAAGAATGCAAATTTAGTGTGGGCCGGTTAGGGCCAGTTTTCACTGCCCTGCGCTCCACTGAGCTGTAGACTTGTGAATACGCTAATACACTAACTTAACAGGACAGGCTGATGACATCACACACCATGGCCCCTGCAGACATCGCTTGAGTCACAATGTTAACGTGTGCGTACATACACGCCTGTGTATGTGTGTGTGTGTGTGTGTGTGTGTGTGTCAGTGTTTGTGGTCACATCCTCAGCCACGTGCAGGGAGTCTGCTGCCACAATATACACAGAGCCATGAAAGTCAGGTCAGGCGTTAAGACCAAAGGCATCTGTGTACATTCATGTGCCCCCACAGTGCTCTGAGTAAGATGAAAATCACTTGCGATGACTAATTATCGAAAGACAGATGATAATAATGGATGCTAGTTATGTACACATCAAGCTACATTTTAAATATAGTCTATAAACACTTCCTGAATATCCTCTCTGTGACATTTTACTTATGATAAAACAATAGGGAGATTTAGATTAGATTTATCAGACACCTGATATTGCATTATATAATACAGTGCTTAAGAATTTCCTTGTAATGGTACTAGTGAACTCCATCAGAAAAAAATAACAAGGTTGGGCAAAATCCATGAAGGAAAATGTCAAAGACACAAACATTGTATATTCAAATTTATCTCTTCCAGATAGCAAATGATTAAAGTAATACCAAGTACTGTATAATCCACAGTATTCTCATTGAAACACATGTATACATACAGTAATCAGTTCAAATGATTCCCTTTATTTTATATAATACATACTGAAGGACATGACTACCATTATGTAATCAGCATTAATTCACAAACAGGACTCAATTTCAAAAAACTGTAGTTCTAAAAGTTGGTGTGTGTGTGTGTGTGTGTGTGTGTGTGTGTGTGTGTGTGTGTGTGTGTGTGTGTGTCTGTGTGTGTGTGAGAGAGAGAGAGAGAGAGAGA